AATGCAAACTCCTTCTTTGTGGAGGAAAAGGGGAAGAGAAAGGGGGAATATTTTTGTTTTTTTCTTGAATGAAATTTCTGCGCTAAAGAAAATACAGCTGAAACTAGCTAGTTCTAACGCATTTGTTACACTTTCCACTTTTTTCTACTGAAGTAATATTATAACTTTCCTGTGATTGCTAATGGTAATGCGCTTTTGCTCGGGTCAATTCCAGACGCCTTAGTGTTTTACTGTGAGTGAAATTTGGAAGGAATTTTTTATTTTAGCCGATTCGAGCATACTTTTGATTCTTTTCAAAAAAGGTGGAAAATTCCATGGGAAGGCATTTTGGATTGCCTTTCTGACAAATCATGACTGATCTATATCATTGCGACATCCGAAAAGAGATTTTTCGATCGGCCTAGTACTGGTAGAGAAGGGTACCTACTGATGCCTTGCAATTCAGGATGTGAAGGTCTAGCATTTTGTTATAGACATGTTTTTCACGTAGTTCGGGTCATCTCGACGTCAATTTTTATTCCTCTGGCAGGGACTGCTGGGCATCTGTGTTTGATTTGATTTGATTTTGAATGATGCATATCAAAATTCCGAGGTCTATCGGGGCTTTCAAATCCTTTGGGCTGTGGTTTTTTTTTCTTTATTTTTTGAAGTTTTTTCCCCGGGGATTTGAAATTTTTGGGACTTTCTCTAATTTTTTTTCCTGTTAAAAAAAATTTCTTACCTGTAAAAAAAGATAAAAATAAGTGTAAAAAATTCTGAATTCTGTGTTCTTTTCTGTACGTTTCTGATAACTGCGTGCGATTTAAGTGGTTCTAATGCAACTGTTCAAACTGAGTCGTCTAACTGATGTTCTGTTTTCTGTAAAACGCGAATTCTTATCATTCTCCGTGTGATATTGCCGGTTTGCTTTCGCTCCGTTCTTTCACCTTTCTGTAGTTTTAGATTATTTTTTTTAAAATCGTTGTTCTTCTAGACTCATCCCAGGTTCTTGTTTTTTAATTTGGTCTTGTAGGAATAAGCTCTGTTTCCTTTTCTTTCACTTTTGGGGCGATTTTAACTTTGTTTTTGGGACTGCAGTGTTGTTGCGTGTGTTTTAGTGTGTTTACTTTGCTATTTCGTGTTTGTTTGGCCGAGCTCTTCCTTTAAATGTGAATTTGAAAATGTGTTCTAAAATTTGGTGATCATTACACAGCAGAACTAAATTGCGACAGCCCGCCCCCCCCCCCCCCCCCCCCCCCCCCCCCC